AGGCCTAGGGAGACAGGAAATTGGCGAGGGCCAACCAGAGCCCAGGCGACTCCAGTGTAAGCCCAGCCCCCTGAATATTTCGCGACAGGGAAAAGCAAGTACTAGTAGTCTAGCCTAGCAGAGCCAGACTTGTTCTCTCGTTTGTCTACCTGTTATAGTGGATGCAAGTTACCATTCCAAGCAACTGCTGCCAGGTGACAAGGCCACTCGGGGTAGCCATTGTGTGGGAGTCAGGACTTCTCTTGGGAGTGGCTGAGGCAGGAGAGGACTGAGTAAGGCAATCACGGAAGGAAAGGGGACAAAAGGAGGATGAGGTGAGAGCAGAGAAGGTAACCACGCAGTGCTGGCAAGGATAACTGAGTACTCCGACAGGACAAACCGAGTGTGAGAAAGCGGGCAAGCCGAGGGTGAGAAAGCGAGCAAGCCGAGTGTGAGAAAGCGGGCAAACCGAGAGTGAGAAAGCGGGCAAACCGAGAGTGAGAAAGTGGGCAAACCGAGTGTGAGAAAGCGGGCAAGCCGAGTGTGAGAAAGCGGGCAAGCCGAGTTTGAGAAAGCGGGCAAGCCGAGGGTGAGAAAGCGGGCAAGCCGAGAGTGAGAAAGTGGGCAAACCGAGTGTGAGAAAGCGGGCAAGCCGAGTGTGAGAAAGCGGGCAAGCCGAGTGTGAGAAATCGGGCAAACCGAGTGTGAGAAAGCGGGCAAGCCGAGGCAAGCCGAGTGTGAGAAAGCGGGCAAGCCGAGTGTGAGAAAGCGGGCAAGCTGAGTGTGAGAAATCGGGCAAACCGAGTGTGAGAAAGCGGGCAAGCCGAGCTGCAGTGGGCGCGAGTGACAACATGAGTGAGGGGAGAGGATGTTGGAGGTTGGTTCGCAGGCTATTGCCAACCGACAGAGGAGTGGTAGTAGTGCGAGTTATCTGCCCGCGATCCTCACGAGCTAACTTTGCTGCAGATGCTGCGCAGAGCTATGGGAGGCGCGGCGAGTGAACGCGGGCGCGGCGAGAGCGCTGCTCATAATCTAACGCCGAAACGCTCTCACGAATTGCCTACGGCGCCCTTGTGAGTAGCGACGTCGCACGCCTTTCTGTTATAGAATTTTCTAGGAAGTTTCCAAGCTCTAACAAACCGAGGCGATGACAGGGGCCTTGTGAGCAGCGACGTCACACGCTTTCGTCGAGGCCAGTCACCGAATTCCCCCTCGCACCCTAACCAAGGCCCCGGACTACACTAATAAAAAGGAACGAGTTAAAAGTTCCCCCTTTAGTAGTGCGAGTGCGTCGAATGCGCTCTTCCACGTTTGTTGCTGGTTAGCCGAATTTAGGGCTCGCCGTTCAAGTAAGGCATTTCGTTCCCGCCTCTAAGTAAGGCCCTTTTCTTCCGCCGGTTCAAGAAAAGCAATTCATACTTGCCGTTTCAAGAACGACATTCATTCCGTTCGTTCTGCTCAAGCCGCGTACATCTAAGGCTTATTCGAGCTCCCGCTGCATCGTAGTAGAAGTTTCCTCCAGAATACTGTATCGTTAATTTCTGCTGTTCGATGGACACTTATTCTCGTTATTAAAGCCCCTTAAAGAATCCAGACACGCTCGCGCCTCGCCTCCCCTTACCCAATCTCGAACCGCTCTTCTCCGTTCCCCTCACCGCACTCCCCATCTCCCGCTTCTGAGGCGACTCACAACTCCCCCACCCCTCCATTCTTCTGAGACAACTTAAAAACTCCCCGAACCCCCACCCCCCATGTCTCTCCTCACATCATGCCTTCCTGACATCCCCTCCTCTCATGCACTCCAAGCCTCTCATTGGTCAAGTGCTCGACCTCTACCGTCGCACCCCGCACTCTTTCCCACCGTCCCCCAACCAAACCCCCTCTCCCGCCTCCTCCGCCTCCGCCTCCCCCTCCTCCACGTCCCCCTCCCCTGAATCTCCCCCCTCCACCTACGGCCCTGCTGTGTTGCTTCCGCGGCTGCACCAGTGGCGCGAGCAGTATGGGGACGTGTTCGGGTTCACTGTAGGGGCCACGGTGCAACTGGTTGTAACGGATCCTGCACTGGTGAGACAGGTACAGTCATGTGGCAATCTTGTGATTGTATGCAAGGATGAAAAATACGGCAATCGTATTATACGGTCCGTATAATACGGTCCGTATAATACGGTCGTATTTTACGGCCAATTTTCAAAAAATCGGCCGTATTTTTGTTGGAGTTTTTTTTTTCTGCAAAAAAAAACGTGACTTGCTACCAACATGAAAGAAATTGCTAACTATCAGGCCTAAAATGGTATAAAACATTTCTATGCCTAGGAAAACGCTCCCCCACGGAAACTCAGACTATTATAGGCGGCCCCGCTTGTGCGGCGATTTCACCCGCCGATCTGCGCAGATCGGCGATTTCGCCCATAGCTCTGCACAGATTGGCGGTTTTGCCGGTCAATTTGATATCGCCACGAACGGAGTGAGGAAAGCCAGGTTGCCAGGCACCCCTTCCTCCCCGTCAAAATTGTTGGAACGGAATGTCCCAACCAACCAATTTGTCGCCACTTACCACTTGTCACCGCACTGGATCTACAAGACCCAACCCCCCAATACACTTTCACAGATTTCGACATTTACCTCAGCCCAACCCTAGCGCAAGCCTCTGCCCATAACTCAAGACTATTACTGACGGCCACGGAAATTGTCTGAGCTTCTGTGGGGATGTTCCTGGGCTCCACGGAAGCTCAAAATCGTATTTTGTGAGCACGACGGTCAACACCGAGGTTTAGAAATGCTTTCACAAATCTTCGTTTCAAATTTTCGGCCGTAAAAAACGACCGTATTTTTGAATGAACCCAAAAATGCAAGATCTGACCGTATTTTACCGTTTAATACGACCGTAAAATACGATACCGTATAATACGGTAAATTTTCAAAATTTCGGTCGTATTTTTGAACCTTGATTGTATGTGATGCGATGCGATCTGAATGACGTGATGTGATGTGATGTGATGCGATGCGATGCGATGCGATGCGATGCGATGCGATGTGATGTGATGTAATGTAATGCGATGTGATGTGATGTGACTCGATGTGATATGATTGCATGAGATGCGATTGCTTCATCTCTCCCTTCCCTTCATCTCCCCACTCCCTGACAGACCCTCCTTACAGCGCTCGCCCGTCCTCTCTGTCTTCCTCCATCCACCCGTCTCGTCTCTACCAGGTCGTTCTCTCCAGCAGCGGGCGATTCACCAAAACAGCGGGGGCGAGCAAGGCAGTCTGTGAGGCGCCTCCAACATGCATCCATGATCCCCCTGTCTCGTCTCTAGCAGCTTCTCCTATCGAGCAACGGGCGGGTCACCAAGACAGCAAGGGCGCGCAAGATACTGAGGCTGCTGGGCAACGGGCTGCCGCTCTTAGAGGGGTCTATGTGGGCACGCCAGCGCCGCATCGTCACCCCCGCCTTCCGCCCCGCTGCCATCAGGGTGAGTTCATAGCATCATAGTCGTGTTGGCTTGTTGACTTGTTGGCTTGTTGACTTGCTCCTGCGGATTTTCGTTTTCCCGTGCTGATCCTTGCTGGCTCCTGCGAATTTTTAGACACTGAGTCCAACCCACTCTTATCTCTGCATGTATTGTTCAGTTCAGCCAGGGGGACGAATATACCGCCTATCTCCCTTTTCGCACTCTTGCTATCCCTCCAACGCAGCATCTTGCCAATTCCGGAAAACTTTGCCCTTTGGGCAGCAGAAAGGAGCATCCGCAACCTGACCCTGCACCTCATTGGCAAGAGGCGGGCAGCAGCAGCAGTGCATGCAGAGGAGGCACATGGAGAGCAGCAGAGGGGGACAGCAGGGCGGGGTGCACGGGACCTGTTGGCGTTGATGCTGGCAGCACATGACGAGGCAGGCAACGAGCAGATGACGGATCAGCAGCTCATGGACGAATCATCACCTTCCTCCTCGCTGGTATGCTCCTTTTGAATCGACTCAAAATGACGTATAAGTCGACCGGAAGTCATCGCGAGCAGATGACGGATCACGTGCATCACTGCCCTCGTGCTTTCAGTCGAGCTCATTGGAACACACTTTCAACTCAGCGTAAATCACAGACAGAAGATGACAAACCCGAAGCTATGAATGCCTCTCGTTTCTTGAGACGTCCCAGAAACTGTCCCTTTACCATGAATGCGTCACGTTTTTCCTCGCTGGTACTGGGCCACCCCGCTATACTTTCTTCTCTCCCTTCATTTCCATTCCCCGCCCTTCCCAAGCCCACATTCAATCTTACCCCAATTCCCGTTCGTTTTCTTCCCTTCTCCTCTCCACTCAGCCCTTTGCTTCCCTGCTACTTTTCTTCTCCCCTCCCCCCTCTCCCCTCCCCCCTCCCCCCTCCCCTCCTACAGCACTCGCGTCTCAACCATCTTCTCACAGCACTCGCATCTCAACCATCTTCTCACAGCACTCGCATCTCAACCATCTTCTCACAGCACTCGCATCTCAACCATCTTCTCTGCATTGCTTCCCCTTCCCGTTTCACCAATGCCCATCTTCCTTCTGCCGCCCCCTCCCTCGTCGCCTCCCATCGTCCTTCCTTGTCGCCTCCCATCTTCCTCTGTGCCCCTCTCACCCTTGCCCCCCAACGCCAGGCCACAGCACCACGGCGCACCTGCTGACGTGGACGTTCTATCTTCTGGCAAAACATCCCGACTGGCAGGAGCGGCTGAGAGCAGAGCTCAAGCAAGCGCTGACTCAGCAGGGGGCACAGGCCACGTCAGCAGTCCCCACAGCCAGCACAGCAGCAGGAGCAGCAGACGAGGCAGGGTCAGAGGGAGGTGGAAGAAAACATGAGGAGCGAAGCCAAGGGGAGTCTGGAGAGGAGGGAGTGGGGGGAGGACAGGAGGGAGGAGAGTGAGCGGGAGGGGAGCGTGGGGAAGGCGAGAGAGGGGGAGGAGGGGGGCGAGGGGGAGTTGGCGGGCAAGGAGGAGGGGGGAGGGTGACATGGGAGGTGGTGGCTTCGCTGAGGGGCATGGGCATGGTGCTGCAGGAGAGCCTGCGCATGTTCCCCCCCGTCCCCTTCCTGGGCCGCACGTGTCAGCAGGTACACATGGGCCGCACGTGTCAGCAGGTACACATGGGCCGCACGTGTCAGCAGGTACACATGGGCCGTGGGTCCTGACTGGGTCCGGCGTGTTTGTTAGTGGCAGAGGGGTTCAGATGGTTGGAAGGGGGCTTATTTCAGTCCCCTCTTTCAGAAGCTCTCAGCCTCATCGTCCACCCACTCACTCTCTTCCCCTCACCCCCTCCTCCTCACTCTCTCCAGGAAGTAAGGCTGGGGCCGTATGACGTGCAACGGGGTGTGAACGTGCTCATACCAGTCGCCCTGCTGCACTATGACCCGCGCTATTGGGGCCCTCAATCCCTCCACTTCAACCCCGACCGCTTCGCCAGTCAGTCCATTTCCGTGCCCTCATCTTTGCCCTCATCTTTGCTCAAGTCTTTGTCTTCTTCTTTTCCTCCTTTGCCGTCTTATGATCGCTACTGGGGCCCTCAAGCACTCGACTTCAACCCGACCGCTTCGCCAGTCAGTCTCCTTTCTTGTCGTGCCTCATGTTCCTCGTTCCATTGGTTTTGTTGCCATTTCTGTTTCACCCCACTGCTTTCTTCACGATTCTCCTCTGCATGCCTGTGCCATTTTTCTCCTCTTGTTTCCCCTTCCCTGTTTTTTCCCCTAACATTCTTCTTCCACACAACGTCAATTCTTTGTGGTTGTATTCATTTCCGGTATATCACGTTCCACTTTTGCCCATTGTGCCTCATACCCTCCTCGAACCCCACGCATTCCAGAAGGCACAGATGAAGCCTGTTCTCACCCTCAGGCGTTCCTACCCTTTGGTTCGGGTCCGCGCATCTGCATCAGGAACAACTTTGCCCTCACAGAAGCAAGGTGGTGCTGGCGCACATCCTCAGGCAGTTCTCATGGCGCCTCTCCCCCGCCTACAAGCACTCCCCCATAAGCGCTGTCACTCTGCGGGCGAGTTTCGGCATGCACCTAATGGTTGAGCCATTGGCAAACCCTTTCTGAGATTCATGGCAGGCACATACCGGTACCGGTGCCACATCAGTATGAAGGGGTTGCTGACAACATATGTTGTCGACACCCAAGGAGCAGCAGGGCACGTGCCACGTACAACGGACCGGCCATTACACAAGTGAATGCACTGATTGTTGATGCTTCAGGTGCTTAGCCACTTCACGGCAGGATATACGCCCACCTGATATGTAAAATCTTGTTGCTAGGTAGGAAAATTTGAAGAAATATCCCAGTACCGTATGTGTTGTTTTTTTGCTGAAACGCACTACACCCTGGTATATGGAAACAGTGGGCATTTCCTATCATCACACAAAAGCATTGCACACCCAACCCATTGAAATTGCCGTGTTTAGCCGTGCCACCCAGCATTACCGCTTCAAAAAATTCGAGTTTGACCTTCCTCTCCCTCATTCCGTGTAACGTCACACTCCCAGCCTCGGCAACCTTCTCGCTTTCTGAAACGTCTTTTGTTTACGTACGTTTCGCTATTCGCGCCGATCGGCGACGCGACGCGCGGAGCACTCAGCGACCCTCGGAGCCACACTCGCTCGCTCGCCCTGGTGCAGTAGAGCCGTCGATCGGGGTCAGTCGCGTTGATCGACGGCACCACGACGCGCGGCGCAGCACAGCAGTTCCCGGGGAGCATACGCGCCGCTTTAGGTACCCGCGGCGCGTTGATCGGTGTCGCGACGAACGGCTGCGATGGCAGCGGAGGGCGCAGCGATGGAGCTGGAGGGGCAGTGGCGAGATCTGGACCGTCTGTTGCTGCGACCAGGGATGCTCGTCGGGCCTGGATTCGAACCCTCGCCGGAGGTATGCCGTGCGTGGGGCATCATGAGGCCATGCCGTGCGTGGTGGGAGCAGGCGCGTTGGAACGCATGGTGCTCGCATGGTGCAGGCGCGTTGGAACGCATGGTGCTCGCATGGTGCAGGCGAGCAGGCGGGCTCGCTAGGCCCTGCTGTCATGTGCCTCCCTCTCCTTCCCCACCCTTTTCCGCTGCCCCTTGCTCCCGCCACCCATTCCTCCTCCCGGTCCACACCGACCAGCCACATTCACGACTGTCTCAAGTGAGACTGCCGTGGGCTGGCAAGTGAAACCTGATACGGTACCACCGTGGGAGCATGCTTCTGGCCTGCGCGCGGTCGAGACACCTTGAGCGTTTCATTCGTTCCTCTTTCCCCTCTTACCCGTTCTCTCCTCTTCTCCACTCTCCTCCTTGCCGCACTCTCCCCCCTTCCACACTCTCCCCCCTTCCCTACTCTACCCCCCTCCCCACTCTCCCCCTTCCCCACTCTCCCCCCTTCCCTACTCTCCTCCTTTCCCACTCGCCCCTTCTTCCCACTCTTCTTCCTGGGATATATCCCCTTCTCCTTGCCACTCCTTCTCCTTGCCACTCCTTCTCCATTCTCTCCCCTTCCTCACTCTTCCCTCGTCCCCACTTGCCTCTCCCACCTGCCCCACACTCTCCCCCACCCACACCAACCAGATTCGCGAGTTCCTCAAGTCACACTGCCGAGTCCTGCTGCTGGTGGCGGGCGGGCGGGCGGGCGGGCTGGGGTGCAATCTGCCTAAGTACCTGCTTCTCGTCTTTCCCCTTTCCACCCCTTCCCCACCTCCCGCTTACCCCACCCTTTCCCACACTCCCACCTGCCACGTCAACCAGAATCGCGATTTTCTCAGGGAGGACTGCCGCGTGCTCGTGGTGGGTGCGAGCTGCTCAAGCAGCTGCTGTAATTCACCCCCTTCCCCATACTCACCTTCCCCACATCCCCCCTTTCCCCACTCTCCACTCCCACCTGCCCCACACTCCCACCCCCACCAACCACACTCCCGCGAGTTCTTGAAGGACGATTGCCGAGTGCTGGTGGTGGGGGTTGGGGTGTGAGCTGCTAAAGGGCCTGGTGGGATGTATTCCCCACCTCTTCCCTTTCCCCCACTCCCCCTTGCCCCACTCTCATCCCCACACCAACCAGATCCGCGACTTTCTGAAGGAGGACTGCCGAGTGCTGGTAGTGGGGGCGGGCGGGCTGGGCTGCGAGCTGCTAAAGGACCTGGTGCTGTCGGGATTTGGCAGCATCGACGTCATTGACATGGACACCATTGATGTTTCGAATCTCAACAGACAGTTCTTGTTTCGGTGAGCTACAGTGTGTGAACAGAGCTGCTCAAAGACTTGGTGCTGTCGGGGTTTGGCAGCATAGACGTGATTGACATGGACACTATTGATGTCTCCAACCTCAACAGGCAGTTCCTCTTCCGGTGGGTTACAGTGGTACCACGGTATATGAACTGTGCATGGGCTCGGTCAGTGGGTGTGGCAGCATAGACGTCATCGACCTGCTGCCACCATTCGCGTCTCGTCTCAAACCTCTACAGGCAGTTTTTCTTCCGGTATACCTCAGAGCACGAACAGTGCTCCTAGTGCATGTACTCGTTGGGGTATGACGACAGTCACACCATCGGTGTCTCCAACCTCAACAGACAGTTTCTCTTCCGGTGCCGCTACAGTGATGCTACAGTGATGCAGTGATGCTACAGTGAGGCAGTGATGCTACAGTGATGCAGTGATGCTACAGTGATGCACTGATGCTACAGTGATGCAGTGATGCTACAGTGCATGAACAGTGCTGCTGCTACTGCAATGCATGGGCGCTGGAATTGAAAGTACCCGAACGGTGTGGCAAGCAACAGTACGTGAAGAGTGCAGGTACAGCAGTTGAGCAGTGCAGTGCAGTGCAGTGCAGTGGATGGACCTCACAGCCCTGTCCCCAGTGTGCCGCCCATTCTCCCCATCCCTCCCTATATGCTCCCGCACTTCCATACTGTGATGTGACCCGCCCACCTGCTCGTTGAGCCGTGCATGGACCTCACAGCCCTGTCCCCACTGTGCCGCCCGCCCACTCAACGAGCCATCCGCCCGCCCAGTGGACCTCACAGCCCTGTTCTGAAAGTCCGTATCGTTCACCCGCCCGCTCTCCCTCCCGACTCTCCTTACCCCCTCTCTCGTCCACCCCATTTTCCCCTTCGTCTTGCCACATCATCCCTCCCCGTGCAGCCCGGCAGACGTGGACATGCCCAAGGCGGTGGTGGCAGCAGAGCGAGTGACAATCAACAAGTCTTTCCCTCCCCTCTCCTCTCCCCTGCATGCAACCCCCTCGTGCCGCCGCTCTTGCTTCCGTGCAGCCCAGCAGACGTGGGCAAGCCCAAGGCGGTGGTGGCAGCAGAGCGAGTGACAATCAACAAGTCTTTCCCTCCCCTCTCCTCTCCCCTGCATGCAACCCCCTCGTGCCGCCGCTCTTGCTTCCGTGCAGCCCAGCAGACGTGGGCAAGCCCAAGGCGGTGGTGGCGGCAGAGCGAGTCATGAGCCGCGTGGGCGGGGTCAAGGTGAGCGGGGGAAAAGGGGAGGGAAAGGGGAGGTGGGAAAGGGGAAGGGGGAAAGGGGAGGGTGGAAGGGGCCAGGGGGGAAGGGAGGGAGGGAGTGGTAGAAGTGAGAGGGGTAAGGGGAGGACTTGCCACGGTTGCACTGTTGTGCTTCGTGCTTTATTCCCTCACTATCTATCAATCAAACCCCACCTCTTGCTGCTTCCTGACGTAAACTTCAATCCCCCTTGCCACTCTCGGAATCACCGTTCGCCCTCTCCCTGCACCCCGCCCCACCCTCAACAGGTGACGCCGGCACACCCACATCACCATCACCTATCACACACACACCCACATCACCATCACCTATCTCACGCACACCCACAGCACCATCACCTATCGCACGCACACCCACAGCACCATCACCTATCGCACGCAAACCCACATCACCATCACCTATTGCACGCACACCCACAGCACCATCACCTATAGCACGCACACCCATAGCACCATCACCTAGGTGCGATAGGTGATGGTGCTGTGGGTGTGCTTGCGATAGGTGCACTTCTGGTGCCCGCCTCTTTCTTCAACGATTTGAACATCATTGTGGCTCGACTCGCGTACTGAGACATCACCAACCCCCCATCCCAACCCAACCCACCTCACCCCACCAGGTGACCCCCCACTTCTGTCGCATAGAGGACAAGCCCGCCTCGTTCTTCAGCAACCCCCCCCTCCCTTGCCTGCTCCGCACCCTGCCCCACCCCGCCCACCCCCACCTATCCCCACCACCTCACTCCACCAGGTGACCCCTCACTTCTGTCGCATAGAGGACAAGCCTGCCTCGTTCTTCAACGATTTCAACATCATCGTGCTGGGGCTGGACTCCCTTGAAGCGCGCTCCTACATCAACAGCCTTGTGTGCGGATTTCTAGGTGCGCTTGCCCTAGACTTACATGAATAGCACTGCATGCTTGCAAGATGACTGCATGCTTGCAAGATGACTGCATGCTTGCAAGATGACTGCATGCTTGCAAGATGACTGCATGCGCACAGTGCCAAGCAGGCGTCAACATCATCGTGTTGGGGCTCGACTCGCTGGAGGCCCGCTCCTACATCAACAGCCTCGTCTGCAGCTTCCTAGGTCGGTCCTCGCTTTGATCGAGTGGCACGCTTGCTTGCTGAGTGAACGATTCGAGGATGGCTGTGCACTGCAATTTGCACTTCGAGGATGGCTGTGCACTGCAATTTGCACTTCGAGGATGGCTGTGCACTGCAATTTGCACTTCGAGGATGGCTGTGCACTGCAATTTGCACGACTTTGCGTGTGGGGCTGCCATGTTGGACAGAGAAACGAGTGCCATGCCATGCCATGGTGTGGTGTGGTGAAGTGAAGGGCACGTGGCAGGAGCCCTCGCTTCATCACTTGGCTTCGAATGTTTGGCGTGTGTGTGACGGCTTTGTTTGAGAAAAGGCATGTCTCTTTACATGGTCACTGTTTGAGAGCATCGTTACGCTGCTCATGTTTCACTAAGTGTTGCTGCTGTGGTGCTCTCGTGCTCTCTCCTACTCCCTCAATACTCCTGTTCAAGTGTCTTGGGTGTGCGGCCTGCCCATGTCACTGCCTCCCCTCCTGCTCTCCGAATCGTCCCTTATCACCAGAGTACTCACCTGGCATCAATCGAGCTGACTTTTGAGTCGACTCAAAAGTCCTCTCCTGCTCTCCGAATCGTCCCTCATCACCAGAGTACTCACCTGGCATCAATCCGTCCCACAGTGGACGGAGGCACGGAGGGCTTGCAGGGGCAAGCGAGGGTTATCATTCTCCCTCATTAATATGCCTTCTTTCCTCCACTTGGCAGCTCCACCGTCACCACCAGACTACTTGGTGAGCCCAGCTCCCTCTCCTCTCCACACACCCCCACAGCGAGCTGGCCGTGGCGCCTATCATCCGCGCCGTGGTTGGCGGGGGCACGGAGGGCTTTAAGTGGCATGTGAGGGTGATCAAGCGTCCTGCTTAGTGCAAAATCCTCCTTCCACCCCCACTCTCCACCCCCATCTCCATCCTCACCACCAGAACAGTCACTGATGGTGTGTTCGACCTGACATCAATTCACCCCATGGGCGGAAGGCCCATGCGAGGGTAATCACCCTCCCTACGGAATACCCCCGCCTTGATTCACTCCCTCTTCTTGCACTGTCTGTCTCCACAGAGTACTCCCCTGAGGGTAAGCTGGACTTGACCTCCATTCGCCCCATGGTGGACGACGGGGGAATGGAGGGCTTCAAGGGGCATGCGCGGCGCGGGTGCTCATCCTCTTTTCCTCCACCCCTCCTGCCCCACCCCCATCTCCACCCCCACCACCACAGTACTCCCCTGAGGGCGAGCTGGACTTTGAATCTATCCGCCCCTGTTTGAGGCGCCTCAAAGGTGGATCGCGGCATGGGGGGCATTAAGGGGCGTGCCTGAGCTGAGTACTCCCCTGAAGGCGAGCTGGACTGGACTTAACCTCCATTCGCCTGATGGTGGACGGCGGCACGGAAACTTTGAGGGGCATGGCATGCAAGGGTGATTGGCCTTCCTACCTAATACCCCCTCAAGGGTGATCGGCCTTCCTACCTAATACCCCCTCCTCCTTCCATCGCCCCTGCTTCTGCTCCACCCCCATCGCCGCATTTCCACCCCCATCGCCGCATTTCCACCCCCACCACCTCCAGAGTATTCTCCTGAGGGCGAGTTAGGCCTGACAATAATCCGCCCCATGGTGGACGGGACGGGCCACGGAGGATTCACGGGGCATGCGAGGGCGACCCTCTCTACCTGCGAGGGCACGTGTAAAAAGCGTAGTTTTGAGACGTCTCAAAACTACTCTTTTTACACGTGGCTTCTCTCTGCCTGCGAGGGTGACTCTCTCTACCTAATACCCACCTCCATCACCCCGTCTCTGCTCCACCCCCAATCTCCACCTCCTCACCACCAGAGTATTCCCCGTGAAGGCGAGCTGGACTTTACCTCTATTCGCCTCATAATGGACGGCGGCACAGAGGCTTCAAGGGGCATGCGAGGGTGATCATCGTTCTCCCTACCCAACACCTCCCCTTTCCCCCACTCCCTCACCACCAACCCACACCCCCCTGAGAGTGAGCTGGACTTGACCTTCATTTGGGGGAACGGAGGGCTTCAAGCGGCATGCGAGGTGCTCATCCCGCTTTCCTCCACCCCTCCTGCCCCACCCCCGTCTCCTCCCCCTCACCACCAGAGTACCCCCTGATGGCGAGCTGGACTTGACCTCCATCCGCCCCATGGAGGACGGCGGCACGGAGGGCTTTAAGGGGAATGCCTGAGTGCTTTTTCTTCCTACGCAGTGTCTCCTCCTCCGTCGACTCCTCTTTATCTTCATCCCTCACCACCGCCAGAGTGTTCCCCTGAGGGCGAGCTGGATCGGCGGCACGGAGGGCTTTAAGGGGCATGCGAGAGTGATCATTCTCCCTTCCTTGTGCCGTCTCCTTCCTCCACACCCCCATCTCCTTCCTCCACACCCCCATCTCCTTCCTCCACACCCCCATCTCCTTCCTCCACACCCCCATCTCCTTCCTCCACACCCCCATCTCCTTCCTCCACACCCCCATCTCCTTCCTCCACACCCCCATCTCCTTCCTCCACACCCCCATCTCCTTCCTCCACACCCCCATCTCCTTCCTCCACACCCCCATCTCCTTCCTCCACACCCCCATCTCCTTCCTCCACACCCCCATCTCCTTCCTCCACACCCCCATCTCCTTCCTCCACACCCCCATCTCCTTCCTCCACACCCCCATCTCCTTCCTCCACACCCCCATCTCCTTCCTCCACACCCCCATCTCCTTCCTCCACACCCCCATCTCCTTCCTCCACACCCCATCTCCTTCCTCCACACCCCCATCTCCTTCCTCCACACCCCCATCTCCTTCCTCCACACCCCATCTCCTTCCTCCACACCCCCATCTCCTTCCTCCACACCCCCATCTCCTTCCTCCACACCCCCATCTCCTTCCTCCACACCCCCATCTCCTTCCTCCACACCCCCATCTCCTTCCTCCACACCCCCATCTCCTTCCTCCACACACCCCATCTCCTTCCTCCACACCCCCATCTCCTTCCTCCACACCCCCATCTCCTTCCTCCACCCACCCCCATCTCCTTCCCCTCCACACCCCCATCTCCTTCCTCCACACCCCATCTCCTTCCTCCACACCCCCCATCTCCTTCCTCCACACCCCCATCTCCTTCCTCCACACCCCCATCTCCTTCCTCCACACCCCCATCTCCTTCCTCCACACCCCATCTCCTTCCTCCACACCCCCATCTCCTTCCTCCACACCCCCATCTCCTTCCTCCACACCCCATCTCCTTCCTCCACAACCCCCATCTCCTTCCTCTCCACACCCCCATCTCCTTCCTCCACACCCCCATCTCCTTCCTCCACACCCCCATCTCCTTCCTCCACACCCCCATCTCCTTCCTCCACACCCCCATCTCCTTCCTCCACACCACACCCCCATCTCCTTCCTCCACACCCCCATCTCCTTCCTCCACACCCCCATCTCCTTCCTCCACACCCCCATCTCCTCTCTTCCTCCACACCCCATCTCCTTCCTCCACACCCCATCTCCTCTTCCTCCACACCCCCATCTCCTTCCTCCACACCCCCATCTCCTTCCTCCACACCCCCCATCTCCTTCCTCCACACCCCCCCATCTCCTTCCTCCACACCCCCATCTCCTTCCTCCACACCCCCATCTCCTTCCTCCACACCCCCATCTCCTTCCTCCACACCCCCATCTCCTTCCTCCACACCCCCATCTCCTTCCTCCACACCCCC